AAGTCTCAGAAGTACTGGTCCCAATGACCCCAAGTTGAAGCATATTCAAATGTACACCAGCAATAGAATGAACAAATATCTTCTAGCAGAAGGAAGGATGGCAATGTTATTGTTAACTAGCATAGCAACTGTGAGGTTAAAACTCTTTCTAAGCAGGAGGTACCCTACTTCTTGATGTGACTGATGTTATTATCGGATTATTCAGTAGTGCCAAGACATGGTGAGACTAGTAATAATCCAAGAAGCACAATTTAAGGAGGCTCTCATTTTTGGCACTTGAGGGCATCCAACTCCCTGGACATCTTTTATGTTGGTGGTATAGTGGTGAGTATAGCTACCTTCCTAGACATCTTGCTTGCCTCACCCATGTCCCAACACAACTGTTCAGTTTGTGGGTATTTACCGAGATATATATTTTTCTGCATGTATATAATACTTTGACTTAAAACTGTCAAGAGGTCTGATCTATCTCATATCATAAATAAAATAAATTTCAAGAAGCATATATATTAGATTATTATTCATCATCTTAGAGAAGGATTTCTTAAGGGTATCAGAAGAGTCTACATTAAATAAACAGCTTTTCTTTCCCAAAGGCCTTCTAAAGAAAGTGAGAAGACAAGCCACACATGTAGACAAATTATTACAACACAACTAAGTAAAAAAATTATATAAGAATATTTTTTCTTTTAATTATGTGTATCTGTGTGTGTGCATGTGCACATGCGCATGAATACAGGTACCCTCAAAGGCTAGACAATGGGTCCCTTTGGAGCTAGAGTTACAGGCAGTTGTGAGCCACCTGACGTGGGTGCTAGGAACTGAATTCAGGTACTCTGGAAGAGCAGTATACAGTGTTAGCCACTGAGCTATCACTCCAACCTCCCAAACATTTTTTACATCAATGAAGAAAGATAACTCATATGCACCAGAAAACAAGGATGACTAATGAAAAGATGCTCGAGTATCAGCAATAAGGAAATATGCTAAAATTATGCAGTGTTAGCATGTCAAGCAGACTACAAAAAACATAAATTCAAGCAATAATAAGTACCTGCAAGGATACAAGATCTCTCTTCCACTGTTGGTACAATAAATATAGGTACAGCACTATTTTGTGCTTTTTATCAAAGTTGAAACTGTGCAAGTCTGTGATGGTTTGAAAAGAATGACCCCCATAGGCTCACATATTGTATGCTTATACATCAGGGAGAGGCATTATTTGAGAAGAATCAGACCAATTAGGAGGTAGGACCTTGTTGGAAGAAGTGTGTCACTAGGGATAGGCTTTGTGGTTTCAAAAGCCCATTCGAGGCTTAGTCTCTTTCTCTTTATGGATCAGGATGTAGCTCTCAGACACGGTTCCAGAGTCCGCCTGAATGCTGCAATGCACCCTGTCATGATGATAATGGATTAACCTTCTGGAACTGCACACAAATGATATGGAAGCAGAGAGGGAAATCAGAGAATCATCACCTTTCACGATAGCCACAAACAGCATAAAATATCTTGGGGTAACTCCAACCAAGGAAGTGAAAGATCTGTTTGACAAGAACTTTAAGGCATTGAAGAAAGAAATTGAAGAGGATACCAGAAAATGGAAGGATCTCCCTTGCTCTTGGATTGGGAGGATTAACATAGTAAAAATGGCAATTCTACCAAAGGCTATTTATAGATTCAATGCAATCCCCATCAAGGTCCCATCAAAAGCACCGATGATAGCCTTTGCTGGAGAGGCTGTGGAGGAAGGGGTACCCTCATCCATTGCTGGTGGGAATGCATTCTTGTGCAACCACTTTGGAAATCAGTGTTTCGGTTTCTCAGGAAATTCGGGATCAACCTACCCCTGGACCCAGCAATACCACTCTTGGGAATATACCCAAGAGATGCCCTATCATATGACAAAAGCATTTGTTCAACTATGTTCATAGCAGCATTATTTGTAATAGCCAGAACCTGGAAACAACCTAGATGCCCTTCAATGGAAGAATGGATGAAGAAAGTGTGGAAT